GGGAGGGCTCTGCCGAAGGAACTTGTGCTGTAAGCCGTTAAGGAGGGCGTTCGGCGTCTAGGAGCTACTTGCAGGAACCGTTTTGGCGGAAAGAAGTGGACGCTGGTTCTTGTCGTCAGCACCAGCCTCCGGCGCTAGAAGCTGATAAGGCAGGATGGAAGATGCCCTTTCTTCCATAAGCTAAGCTTTCGAGATCTGCAGAGCCCCTATTTCACGGAAGGCGAAAAGCTTCCACCAACCATGGGAGCTACAAAAACGCCCGCCGCATCGTGATTTATGGTTCGAGCTTTTCATCGTAAATCCCGCCGTTTGTGTCGGAAAATGGGGCATAGATGAAATACACCCTTCTACAGAAAGAAATTTTCCGCCGGAGATGTCGTCAGCATTGATGTCAAGATCCGATGCGGCGTTCAAGCTTGTTTGATATCACTCTGAAACCTCAACCATTCAATGGATGGAGAATTGCTTTTCACTCTTAACGTTATCATGATGATGGTTATGGCAATATGTTCCTTGCCAACTTATAATGTTCTCGTAAAAGGCATTTGTCTTCAGTCATGAGATTGCACTGGAAGCTTCAAATCATTAGTCTGCGCCCACGGTCCACAGGACCTCCATCATTCTCCACTTTTGTTATATTTTTGTTTTATATTTGAACAAGAGCAATATCCATAGGTCCAGCTAGTTGCGGGCAAGACTTGCGCCACACTAATGTGCAAATCCCGCTTCTCTAGCAGCGACGTTGTCAAACAGTACACCAAGCTCTAACAAACCCCATACGTCAATCGAATTCGTAGATCCACGGGGCACTGAAGATGAGATTTCTCAAGCTTCTGGGGGAAAATGGCGCTGAAGGAGTTGCAGGAACTGTCATTTTGTTTCCCATCGAGTTCAATGAGGAAATCTTCAAATGAGCCCACTGATTAGCGGCATTGTGTAACTGGTCGTTGATCCGTATTCATGGAAAGTGGTAATGGTTCGGGAGAAGAGAGAAATTATTGGGAAACCAGTTGCGGCATCTTCCGCAAATGGGAAATAGAAAGACAAATTTATGACACACCCTGAACTTGAAGCGGTTATGAGGATTACCAGGAGATTGAAGCTCAGGAACAAGTTGATCCTTGACTATGGACATTCCCTTATCCGGCCGTTGTACGACAGCCGGAAATTTTGCCCAAACGAGTGGTTATGAACTCTCATGTTGATTAGC